GGTATTGTACAAGGAGAATGGTCGAGACGCCCGATGGGATTAAGTCCCGGTGCTACTTTTCGTAATTATCGTCAACGGGGTGCAGGAAAAAAACAACAAGGTGGATTTTTACCCTTACTGTTGGGTATGCTGGGGATGGGTGGACAACGCGGAGGACGATTAAAACAACGAGGAGAATTTGTTATACCCCAACAATGGGCAAAATCTTTACCGGGAGGGTTGGGATAAAAAAATAGATAAAACATTTTGTAAAAACTTTTAAAAAATTTAATTATACATCATTGGAACATAAATATCGCGTACAGTTTTTCTACATGTATTATTTATATTACATTCATATAATAGTTCACCATGCAAATTGTCATCGATACGGTATTTTAATATACTCTGTTTTCCACATATATCAGGCGCACGACGTCTGATAGTTACCCATGCATGATCTTCCAAACCGTTTTTTGCCTGCTCTACATGAATGTACGTCAACGAATCCATTTCGTGAAAACAAACCCCACATTTTGTTGTACGAGCACATGACAATGTTTTTTTTTCTGCATCGTAATGTGCTTCCCCTCCACAAAGACATCTTATTTTTTCGCCTCGTGCTCGAATAATTTGGGGTAAAGATTGACGATAATCACATTTTTTCGCATTACAAACAAACAACAATTGATATTCATTATTTAAATCAATTGATTTTTCTTTTGTGGGGTCCGTTACACCACAACCCACCGTTACCCGTTCTACTACAGCACGAACAAGTCGTTTACACGTACACATATTACGTTCGTGAAAAAACATATAATCTTTTACATTCTGTACAACTCGTGTGTAAATTAAAAAATTTTCATCAAATGCGTTTATTTTAAACCCACAAGATCGGTCTGCACACACGTAATCCACATAAAACTCATTTGATTCATCCGATACACGTTCCACGCAAACTTCTACACGTTCCTCGCAAAAACATTCAATCACACGACAAAGCCAGCTTTTCGATTCCCAACATCGTTTCTCACAAGTAACACACGCGCATGGCAGCGTTTTTTTTAATGAACACGATTTTCCAAACATTTCGCCAACTAAATGCAAAAAATATATACTTTTTTACAACTCGATTAAATATTAAATAATACTTTTTTTTATTTCTAAAACTTACTATCGTCAGCTAAACTCGCATAATATTTAGAGCCCATGTTTCAAAAAAAATCTTTTACGTCAAGATGAGCGAGTGTAGAACAGAAGCACCTTTACCAGTGAATCCTTGCAATACGAAGGGTTGTAATAAATGTATGGCCGCAAGTATTAGTCGTATGTTATATTTTACAATCGTAAAAAAAACAGAAGAAGCCGAACAAGAACGTACGGAAGAAGCCCCGCCACCTCAACCACCCGCATCAAGTTTACCCGTAAAAAAAACCGCAAAAAAACGACGACCCGCACCTTACACAGCCAAACCCATTAAATTTATTCCTGCAAAAATCATAAAAGATAACGATGGCCACGAATCCAAGTACTATTGTTACACACACATGCGCGTCACCTCAGAACAATGCGACTGTGGAAACGACCGCTGTATCCGAATCGTCCGAAAAAACAGCGATTCCCCCTGGAGCCTGGCAACTTCAAACCCCTAAATATGCAACCACACCTCATGTAAAATATGATTATGCTGAACCCAAGTATCCTCTACTAAGTGGTATAAACACTTATTTACGAAGGTACGATGAATACGATGAATACGATGAACAATCGGGTGATACTTTAACTCTTTTAGACGAAAGACTTGAAAATGCATTTGATTCCCCTGAAATGACGCATGCCCTTGAAACATTACGTATTAAAATGGAAAATGATTATTTAGAAAAGAAAAAGAACGAACAAAAGAAAAATATCGACAGCGAAGACAAGAACGACGAGAGCGAAGACAAAGAGAACGAGAACGACGACAATACGATAGAGAAAGAAGAAGAAGAAAAACACCTGAGTCCGCAATCAAATTACCCGATGTCAAGGAACTATCAATCGGAATGCCAGATGTTTTTTGATACGCGTAATAATTATGTCTCTCCTGAATCTATACGAGAAACATATAAACATATATTTGCATCAAAAGAATACAGGGACGCAGTTAAAAGTTTAGTAACAGAAATAGATGGAATGAAAATGACACTGCATCATGCTGAAAGATATGAGGAACGTACTAAAAAATATAAAACTCAAAAACAGATAGTTTTAAAAATATGTAATGATAGTCAAGATGAACACGTATTTGCATCTAAAGAAACCATGTAAATAAACTTCTATTTTATATTAAAACTTTATACCATCAAAATATCTCCGTAATTAGTCAAGCATACATACATAGCAGAACTAGTATGTGCTAAATCGTCTCCCTCGTCTTCTAAATCAAACTCATAATGTGAACCAGTTATTAAAAAATAAAAGTCATGTATCGCAGACCAATGTTCCAACAATACGTATGGGACCACACTTTGCCACGTCTCCATATCTACATCGTTCGCTAGATCTAATTTATGTTTTATATATAAACTTGCAATTGTATAAAAAAATATATCCTCAACTGACGCATTTAAAGTTCCCATTCTTTATTTCTTAACTGTTCGTATATTTCAGCGTACTTCTTTTGTTTACCGTCAGGACAAATAGCTAACACACGGCAACAATACAACCGTCGGGGTAAATCAGGATCATATCTTGTCTCGCGATTTTCAATACCCGTTTCAACGTTATATTCAACTTCCCAAAGAGCTAAAAAATCGTGAAACTCACGACACGCATGAGTATAATAGCCCAATTTTATGAAATCCGGGACCACTTTCTTGTAGTATTCCACACTACGACAACCTCGAGTTTGTTTGCAAATTTCACGATCGATAAGATATGCTAAAATCTCCGTGAATAACTCTGTTTGGTCTTCACAACTACCCGTCCAACCTTCTGGGGGGAAAATGTCCTCGTCATCACCACACACGGCTTGTATAGACCAGTCTTCATCTTTTTCATCATATGCTCGAGTAGGTGGGGCATTCGAAGTTGCCATTTAACAAAAATTTATATAACACGCTTAAAAAAATAACATACAATAAGGATATTGAAATTATTATACAAATTATTTGAATATATTTACTCATTTCCGCATGCTATATAAAAATGAAAAATATATATTATCACTCACTTCTTAAATACTCTTTCACGAGGACGGGATCATGAATTTCAATAGTGCAGTGTGTGATGCTATTTATCTTGAAAATGTCAGCAATTGTAATATACCCATTTTCGCCGGAGGTCCTAACTCAATTCATCACGAAAGCTTAACGCATAAAATTGACCTCAGTTTTGCAGCGTACACCGCCACAGATTTTAAGCCGTTGGGTATTCTGGGAAAAAATGGACATATCAAAATTACTCTACGGGGTAATGTCTATGGATTCATGGAAAAAATAACGAAAGAAGTTTATTATCATGAATATGCAAAATATCGCGATGGAAATAGTGAAGAACGATTAATTTTCAAAGTCGTCTCAAATACAAAAGGTAAATCTACTACCATATATGGTAATCGACTTTTTGCTATACAAAAACTAAATACCCTACCCTATATAATTCACTAACCAGTTTTATGCAAAAAACAAAATGGAGCACGTAAATGTTTTCGACGGAAAAAAATATTTATATTATTATAACAATACACATCGTTCTTATAATATTATACTGGTACCGTCTATGCAACACGATGTCTCGCGTTATGAAAAACCGATGATACGTTTCACTGTATGTAGCCTTCGAGCATCAGTTCAAGTGACGAAATTCCATCCTGGAGAATTTATTTGCGTCCAAACGGTAAAAAGTCATAAATAATTTTTTGTTTTTTTTCCAGCAAAAATACTAAATTTCACTTATTTTCTTTTAGATCAATGCAAATAGACGACGTTGGATCTATGAACTTGTCGAAAAAATTACCCTCACAGATTTATTACAACGACAATCAAAAGACAAAGACATCGAACTTTTAAAAATATCAAATAATAAACGCGTACCTATATATGAATAAATTTACACGTTTATGTTCTCAAGAAATTTATCTTAGCACACATAGTGAAATATTTTGTAAACGATGCAATGTTAATCAAGAAGTAGTACCTTATATAATCACATTAAATGATCAAGAACAAAAAAAATATAAAGAACAAAATAATGAAAAAATATTAATTTTATATAAGACAATGTATTGTAAAATATGTAATACAGATGATTTTCACAAATGTAGTCTTCAAAAACATTGGCAACATCATATTAAAATTGTTTAACATGACACTTCCGTTTTAAATAAAACTTTGCGTATGTGCACACATATCTCATTTACATTATGGATTTTACAGTGGGACTTACTCATATTCGCGATAACACAAAAACACCGCTTGAAATAAAAACAAAAGCTGCCCGCCTGATACAAAGACTAACGTTTATCTATTTACGTATCAAAGGAAAGGAACAGTATGGAATTATAGCCGTTCCGCACACATCCCTCGTAACCTCTTTACCCAAAGGATATTTAATTTTCTTTCTCAGCGATATTCACAGCCCCATCGAAATGGGTCATATACCAACAGACAAATGTATTAAAATTAAAATGGTATGTATTTTTATAACTATTTACACTTTCGCTCAGTCTATATAAAGAGCTTGTCTACAAACATATTCTTTCAGTATTATAATGGCTGTTGAAATGACAACAACGCCCGGCCCTTTAAATATATTTGATCAAAAGTTAAAGTTTATCTATCTACGTGTTCGCGGAGAAAATCCATGTAAAATTATGGCCGTTCCTTATACACATCGTATATCATTACTACCACGAGGCTATTTAGTTTTCTTTACGTCTCGTGTCAACGAACCCGTTGAAATGGGTATTGTACCCACAAATGGTAATATTAAAATCACAAATGTAAGTATTTTGTCTTTTCTCTTTTCACATATTGTCTATCGCATCTATCGCCCCATCAAACACATATCCTGACTCTGAGCCCGAAATTATATTTGTAAACGATAAACTTTTCGATTTAGCTGCTCGTGCCCGTCTCGCAAGTGTTACAAATTGAGGAGAAATTAAAACATGTGTCCTCTTTAAAATAAGCTGTACCATTTCCATGACCGTCAAACTGCTATCGTCCGCTTGAAGAATTTCCTCGATTACATATTGTTCGTTCTCGTCAAAAATACATTCGTCATTAATCTCTCGTTTAAATACTAACCAACTTTTTAACCAAAAACGCAATTGAAAAAAACGACGCACTTGTACTTTAGGACCCCGACTCATTGTCCAAAACTCGTAATCATGTAGCCATTTAGGAAAACGTATATGATCATGTATTACTGCTAAATATCTTATTTGCGTGTACAAATAATCGTCGTGATACCAGTCGAACATCATTGCTCGTTCATAATATGTATAACCCACCATTCTACACGACAATTGTACAAGAGCACGATCGAAACGTTCAAATACATCCATAGCACTAGATAGCCATATGAAGTCTAATCGCTTCCCTGCGTGAGAAACGCGATAATGCTACAAACATGGGCGTGACCAATACTTGTGTTTGACATAAAATCTCACGCACAACGTCCATGGTAGAACATTGCAAATCGTCTTGTTTTAATATGTCTTCAATCGTACGACTAGTTACCTCATCGTCAAAAGGAAGTACAGGTTCTTGTGTAATAAAATTTATAAAATAACCTTGCCAAAAACGTAAACTAAAATATTGTCTTGACAATATCATAGGTCCACGACTCACACAATAATACGAATAACGACGATACCATTGAGGATCAAGTATTTCATCATAAATCACCGCCACATATCTTATATTTGTATACACGTAATCATTATAATACCAATCAAAAAGAGAACGATGCTGAAGCACGATCGTATGATTTTTTTGTAAATTTAGCGCCAATTTCATAAGAGCCTTATTAAAAAGCATAGATTCCCGATCTAAATGAAAATCAACCATCTTTTTTTTTTTAGGATGCAAATCTAGACGTGA